TGACCTATGAGGAAAGATTGAAAAAATTGGCATTTGGATGCTACAGTGGAAGATTCTGTGTAGTTCAAATGCATCTCAGTTCTGAGCTGCAACAGCCCACTATTTTTGTATTTCATTAAAATTTTATAATTGAGACAGAGCATAGCAAAATTAGTGTCCTTATTAAATTGAACAGTTCCATTATTTGTGGCCCAGATTCTGATAGTTCTTTATAAAACTGTGCAAAGTTAGGGGAAGGATAGAAGGAGGCCTCCCCCTCCCCCACCAAGTTCCTGGCATAGTGGTGAGAAAGGGGAGGCAGGCAAAGGCATATTCAAGGAACAGAGACTTTGCTTTCTCCATGTGTCACTGGAGAGCATATTGCCACAAAACAGAAAGGGAGTAGGGCCATGTCCTTGCCTCCCCTTTCTCACAAGCCTGTATGGATAAGTACACTGCATCCCTTAAGGAGTGTAGCAGTGAGTGTGCTCTCCCTGCATACTGGCTGTTTGTTCCAGAGATTTTCCAGGGTAGTATCATATCCCATTATATCCAATAACTATGGCACAGATCTTGCATACTGAAGTCACTGGGGCTCTGTGCAAGTGCAGGGATTTGCATGCCCAGAACATCTTGCAAGATTGGGAGTTAGGCCCTGGATCCACAAAGGTACTTAGGCACATAAGTCCTGTTTTTAGATGCCACTGTGATCCCCAAAACTGTCACTCAGCTCCCACCTAAACTTGCTTGGAACTTAAGGTTTTGCAGAAAAAGTTCCCTAGGTCCCTAAGTTTTGGCCTCTGAGCATGTGCACTGCTGTCTCACTCTAGGAATATGGGTACCTATCTCCTGCCTAAGTCCCAGAGCAAACTAAAAAAAAGGTGAAGGTTACCACTCAGAATCATAGAACTGGAAGGGACCTCAAGAGGTCATCTAGTCCAGTCCCCTGCACTCAAGGTACTCTTCCAATTAAGTCACATGTATGGTCTTACCCAGTTGGCATGCTCAGCAGCCTCCTAACACATCACACACAATACCCAGAGAAAGACAAGGACCTCCCTTATAATCTTTAGCCCAGGGGTTAAAGCACTTATCTGGCATGTGGGTGACCATCCATTCAAGTCCCCTCTCTGCCTCATGAGGTGAAGTGATTTGAACAGGAATCTGTCACTTCTTAAGTGAATGCCCTAACCCCTGGGCTATAGAGTCACACTCTCTCTAGCTCAATTGGGGGTGCGGGGGATAGCTCAGTGGTTTGAGCATTGACCTGCTAAACCCAGCGTTGTGAGTTCAATCCTTGAGGGGAACATTTAGGGATTTGGGGCAAAAATCTGTCTGGGGACCTCCTGAGGTCCCTTCCAACCCTGATATTCTATGATTCAATTACTGAGTTAAATGGAATAACCTCAATAGGAGAGATTCATAGTAGACTAGCCTCGAACCAAAGGGTTAGACCACTCACATGAGAGGTAGTAGAACCCTGTTCAAATACCATCTCATTAGGAAGAGGGAGGACTTGGTCTGTCACATTCCAGCTGAGTGTTCTAACCACTGGGCTAAAAGTTATAAGGGAGCTCCTCCAGGGCTGTTTTATGTATAGTTAAGCAGCCTCTGAGCACAACTACTGGATCAGGTCCCATACTTAACTTAGATGGGGGAGCATCTATCTTCTCCCACTTCATGGATCACCTGCCTTGTTGCAGCCCACACTTAGGTGCCAGTCACCATGAGAGGGGTGGGGCTTGGCATATATCTCATCAGCATCATGACTAACATAAGCAGCTCCCCACCTAGCTTTGTAGATCATGTGCAAAGTTGCCTCTCTCTCTCCCCATTCATCATACTAACTCAGGCTTTGTGCATCACAGCATTGTGCCTGTGATTTTTCTAGTAGCTTATTGTGGCACTGAGCATTGCAACACCTTGGTTACTGTGTCTGGTCAATGAATGGAACACTTATTGATTTCAATGGGAGCTGTGTGCACAGCCTATACCAAAATCAAAGAGAGCACTAATTAGAAAAATTTGGATATTCTCTTATTTTTTTCTTTTAATTTGCAATATGATGAAGTGCAAAGGAAGCAGCAAATAAACACCAAAGCTGAGATTAGTTTAGAGCAGAGTTTAGTGTTAGATTTTTTCTTTCAGAAAGTCAGTGCTACAATAACATTCACATTAGTTGATGAACACTCATCACATTTAAATGTTGCTTATCAAAAAGCAAACAGTATTGATTAAAGACAACTATTCTATACACTGATCCAGCTAAAAAAAGACCTCATTTCAGAAACATATTTCTAAAAACTAATGTGATCTTCAGAATTAAAAGAAGCCTGTAATTAAAAGCTAATGTGGGGAATTTTCCTCCCTTCTCTCACAGTATTTCCTTATATTCTGTACTGCATATTTAATCACTTTAACAAGGTCAACCTTGTTCTGCCTCAGTTCAATTCCTGAACTGAAAATCATACTTATATAGTGTTTCAGAAATACAACATTTTCCTCTTGCAACTCTTGATCAAGCATAGGACAATAACTATTACAAACTCAGTGCTGACACACACAACTGTTTTTTGTAATCTAAAGCTCAAGAGTGTAAATTAAAGCACAATCTGTCATGAACAGTCTGCAATAAGAAAGTTTATACAATAAGAGTCCAAACTAGGATTTTGTTGTTTTAAAATGAAGCTACTCAAATATGAAGAATAGTTAGGGTCTCTGAAATAGATGGAGAGTGTGGTGGTATGGAAAGATTCTGTTACTCGTTTCCCTATTCCCCCCCATTGAACCTTTTGTTGCTTTCTTTCTTTTTGCTTCTTCCATACAGGAGAAGACAGACTGGGTTCCCTAACAGTATGCACCCTCCTCATGGTCATGTGTGTCTGGGCTATACACATTGGGTAGAATTCACAAATATAAATAGGTGCTTAACTCCCACTGATCCACCAAATCACCAGGTGCTGAAATTCTTCAGGGAGATGCTGAGTTCTGCTGACCAATTGTGGCAGATGCAGCTTGTTAACCCAATCTGGATATAAGAGAAGTGGGAGTGAACACTTTAATAGGAGTATTTTAAGGTTTGGAATCAAGATGTTCTAAGAGATAAACTATAATCAACTAAGGCTGAGGGTAAAGCTGAATCCCACACAATCGATTAGTGTTTTTGAACAAAGTGGAAACTACTCCCATGGGTATGTGAGAAAGATCTAATGTGTATATAACTTTACATATTCAAATAATTGTTACTTGAGCTTGCCCAGAACAAGTAAAAGACACTTCTTTCCTCTGCTCTAGCTTAAGAAATAGGCTTGAAGGAACTGATTGCCATGAGATATCATTGAAGCCAAGAACTTGGCAGAATTTTTAAAGATTAGACAGTCATATGCATTACAAGAACACGCAGTGTTATAAAATAAATACTAAAAAGAACTTGGGAAGGGATATAAGCCCTCAAAGTTGGGGGCATAACCCAGCCTTTAACCACTGAAAGCTTAGGAAGAAAGCTTTCCCTGAGGCCAGGATATTTGATAATTGCCTACAATAGGAGTTTCTGCCTCTTAAATAGCCAGTGCTAGCCACTGTCAATGCCAGGATACTGAACTTAATGGACTCATGGTCTGGCTGAGTATATTCTCTCTCTCTCTCTCAAACAAACAAAAGCTCAGAATATTAGGAAAATCTTTGTTGCTTCATTCACTGAGCTTTAAATCCCTGTTTCTGAAACTGCTTGGGTGATGTTCCCTAAACTTTCAGCCATGGTACGACAAAATGGAGGGGTTGGGGTTTCAAAATCAGATTTTTAAAACTTCAGTCAGGGAGCAGAGGCAGGGCTTATTAGGGGTGAGCAGCTTATCTTGTACCTCCACAGTGCCTAGCACACATAGGGGCTAGAATTAGGGGTGCTGTGGGTGTGGCAGCAGCACCCCCTGGTTTGAAGTGATTTCCATCATATACAGGGTTTGCAGTTTTGTTCAATGGCTTTCAGCACCCCCCACTATAAAACACTGTTCCAGCACCCCTGATAGCAAGGGGGCCTGTAGATGACTTCACAGCGGATGGGTCATTAGCAGTAAGTCAGGGGCCCCAATCAAGGCTGTGACCCTAGTCCCAGAGGCGAGCGGCGAGAACACAGGCTCGGCAGGGCCCCGACGCACCTGCTCACCTGTCTCCAGCTGGGGGGAGGGGGGTGCGCAGCCCGGCCACGCCCCCCCACGGGCTCAGCGCAGGCGCCCTGGCGGCTACCGCAGGCAGGGGGCGGCAACATGGCGGAGTGAGCGGCGGCGGCTCCGGTTCCACAACAACAGCGGCGGCATCGGCGGCGCTGCCAGCGGCTCGCAGACCCGTGCCCAGCCCGCTTCCCAGCGCCGCCTCCGGGCCGGGCGCGGCGGCTGCTCCTCCGGCCCCGCTGCGGGGAGGCGGCCCCGGGCGGGCGGGCTCCGGCTAACGGGGCAGCAGCGCCCATAATAATCCCTCATTATAGCGGAGCGGCTGCCGGGACGGTCCCTGCGCCTCGGACCGGCTCCCTGCGGCCCCGCCGGGCGCTGCTGCGGTGGAGGCTGGGCTGGGCTCGGCCGGGGGCAGGTGCCGGAGGGCGCGGGGGGTAGATGGCGAGTGAGAAGCCGGTGTCAGGGCCGGACCCGCAGCCCGCGGGGCTCATCCCTGTCGGGGCCGGAGGAGGCGGCGGCAGCGCCGCGGTGATGGGGGAGCTGCGAGCGTCGGGCTCCGGGTCCGTGGTGCTCCCCGCGGGGATGATTAACCCGTCGATGCCGATCCGCAACATCCGCATGAAATTCGCCGTCCTCATCGGACTCATCCAGGTCGGGGAGGTCAGCAACCGGGACATCGTGGAGACCGTGCTCAACCTGGTAAGGGGCCGGCACCCCTCCCCATCGGCACTCCTGCGGGCAGGGCTAGGGCAGCCCGCGCCCCCTGCCGACCCCCGAGGGACCCAGGCACCTACTACGCATCCTCCCCAGCTGGCGACTTCCCTTCCATAGGCACCCCACCCATTCCCCCCATGCGAATTCCCACCACTGCTCCCTCCCTAATCCTAAAACCATGCGTATCCATTGATTGCCCCTTTCCCCCACCCCGATCCCCTACATGCACCCATTGCTCCCTCTCCACCCCTAGGAGAGACCCTAGCATACTCCACCCTTCCCCACAATGCCGGTTTGTGAGACGCACACTCATCCATATGCAACCCACTCGCTCTACCGTGTACCTAATGGCTCCTTCCTCACCCCTCTGCTCAGCCTAAACTCCACACAGGACCCCAGCTGGTGAAACAAACACGTACTTTTTACAGTCTAATTTCCCTTCTCCTTCCCCTGCCCTGTCTTCTGTTTTGGAAGTGGAGTGGGTGCAATTTGTTTGTTGTATATTAGAACCAGTAATTGACAACTTCAGGTGCTTGCAAACTGCCAGATAGCCTGACCACTCATTCCTCTGAAGAAAAGGGGCATTTGATGTTGTATCTGTTTTTAATTGTATAAGATTGAAAAGCAGCCCGAGCTGGTATCTTTCCTTGCAGATGCAAATGTGTGAAAGATTTAACCCTGTTAGCTCGGAGCTAATCGGAGAGTTTTTGCTTCCTTTTAATAAGTGTTTATTGCTACAATCTGTTGTGAGCAAACGAATCCCTTACATCTTAATCCCGTTCTAGTGTACCAAACTGCATTCTTGCCTCCAGAATTAAGGGTGTCAAAATGGTCTGTATGATGAAAATCATTATTACATGTGGGTAAAACACACAAAACAAGAAAAGGATGTTGCAATGTAGCTCCTTGGTCATTCACTCACTTCATGGTATGAAAGAGTTACTGCAAGATTGTATGACTTAATGTTTTTGTGCTACCTACACTAAAGCCTGGGAAACCTACAGAAGTCTAAGGAGAGGGAAAAATGGATCTAAAAATGAATCACTTTCAATTATGTGTAATTTGGTGCTGCTCCTGAATGCAAGCTTCACTGCAGCAAAGCTTTTGAAAGCAGTTCAGTCAACGAAATATATCCTCTATTTTACTTATGAAGTAGGATAGAAAGCTACTGCTTAAGACTGAAGGGCACTTAATTTAAACTGCCGTTCTAACAAACAAGTTTAAAATGTTTATTTTGTAACAAAAGCATGCACAGAGATAAAATTGTATCTGGCACTTTAAAACCATGTATTCTTCCGATGTTTGACAATTATTTGCATTTGACCTAATGCAGGCTGAATGGAAGAGCTGCAGCATTCAGAGAGAGATGTGGGTTGGTTAGATCATTTTAATCTTTATGGCTTATATGGATGCACAAGAGTTAAAGCTCTTGTTTTGTGAATATGTCAAGTCAAAGACCGACCACTGATTTGAGTTTCCTCTGTTGTCTTTTCAAGCTGTTTTGTCTTTACAAGTAACCTTTCAGATAAACTATTGTGGTATAAGTTGTCAGAACTTGGTAGTCATCACTTTACTGGATATTATCCATTCATTTCACAGTAGCACTGGGAATAGGGAAATAACATGAAGTGATTTCTTTTAGTAGCTTCAGATAGATCATGACGTAAGTGTAGAGTGCTTAATCTTTTTCCTGTGTTTAACCTCACTTGTTGGTATTGCTAATCAAAAGGGAAGAAGTTTAAATTTGACAGCCTAATTGCTGATACACAAACTAACATTAATTTTTGGTTTTGGTTTTTGTTTGGTGATATTTCTCGGAAAGTCATAAAATGTTTGTTAAAATATTTGGTTACAGGATCTATCCACTGTTTGTTTAGTTATTGTTGAAATGTATGCACTTAAATCTAGAAATATGAATAAAGGTTGTAGTAATACTTTCAACATCAGGGGACACACGTGAACATAAAACCACTTGGGAAGCTACTGCAGTAGCTATGCATTCTGGATAAGTCATTGCTTAACAGATGGACTCAGGCATACAATAGCATAGAAAGAATATCATCTTTCTTTGATGTGGAAATATAATCTAACACTCTCCAGTGCACTGCATGACTAGTATGCATTTATGCTTATATTTTGGAAGTTAATTTGCTCACAAGTAAAACAAACAGAATGAGCCTGGAAGCTAGAAAACAAAATTATGATCCTGTAAACTACCAACGTTCCCCTGCTGCTGCATTATTGATTTTTTAACTCCAACTATTTAAAATGAAATGCGTTTCTTTATTTTTAGAGGTGGTGGGGTTTTTTTTTTTTTTTTTAGGAAAAGGTTGAGGAAAACAATTTATAGTTGCTATGCTATACTATTTATGAATGAGTGTCCTTTAGTTGTGTGCGCTAATGTGAATGGGCATTGTTTAAAGTGCTGTCTTCAATGACTTCTTGGATTAGATGATATAGTGTGCCAGTCTCTGACATTAATCTTGCCTTTAACTATCCCGTAGCACGTACACAAGCCATTTGGCGGTGTCTAGCTTTGTTTTGTTTAAGGGAGTCTACAGTAGGTTGGGCTTCTCTTACTACCTTATAGGTGGCTGTCCCAATAACTTCTGATTCTTGAAAAATGACATCTGTGATACAGTCTGTATGATGAAAATATTCTCTGTATCCAAACATAACATAGAATTGAGAAATTGCGGTCCCTGAATTGATGCTGAGCCGGCTATAATGTTGGGAAATCCTGATGTAAGAGCATTAAAGTAAAACTACAACATAACCATCAAATATTCTAATCACTACATTTAAGTAAAAGTGAATAAACTACTTAAAAATGCCCTTGAATCACTTTTTATATTGTATTTGTCTCAAATGAACTAGGTTTTGACTGAGAAATTCTTCTCATCTGTGGCATACGGGAAAGGTACAAAGATTGAGGTTTAAGTGTTGTTGCTGTTCACAATTGTTTAAAATAAACTGCTGCCTACATATAAGTTATTGAATAAATTGATTACCTTAAATTAACTCTGAAAAATCTGTTTGAGTATTCCAAAATTATGCCACATTTCTCGCATTTCCCATCAAGTGATCCAGTCTGAAGTAGTTCAAAGTGTACCATTTAAAAATCAACTTTTGACACTGCAGTGACATAGTACCGTTGTATCTTGTAGTACGGAAGATACTGTCACCACTGCAGGTACTTCTGGAGTGGGAATATTGGGTGTGTAATGGTGCCCTCTGTAGCAACAAAACAGCACACTCAAGCTAAATTCTACCCTCATTTTTACTCTTGCAATCCCATATATGTCATGGTAGAATTTGGCCCTTAATTATATTTATATTTATTAATATCCCAGCACTGGTTTGAAAGTTCCGGAATTAACAAACTGGTACATTAAAACATTTATCTGTTCCTTAGTCAAAGATTTATTATAGGGATATTTTCCTTTGAAGTTTTGTCTTGTGGAGTCAAACTGTTCAGGACCTTTATTTACCTCCATGTGTGCTGATATAGGTTAGTTTTGAACTATCAATTGTGGGGTTTAGTATCAAATTTACTCCTTTCCCCCTACTTCTTATGAAAGGTCATCTTGAAACTGAAAGTGTAGCTAGTTAATGGTCATTATAGAAGATGCTATGTTGACTGTCAAAGCATCTGTTAGGTCACTAACCAGAGTGCATATGTTGCTGTCAGTGCTCAAAGTAAGTTTTAAGGTTTGAAGCCAGGTAGAAAGAGGATGGCTGAAGCCTGGCATAACTTCTAGACATATAGAATTTTTTAAAGGGCTAAGAAAGATGGACTTGGAGACAAGCTTTATAATATCGAATTGGATGCAGTTCATAGCTCTCTTAGGAGCAGGATTATTGATCCCCTTCATGGTGGTGCATGGACCTTCTGTAACTAAAGTTTTGCTCTTCTGTGTCATAATGTTTGAGAAAATAATTGGACAGGATCAATTTGGTGAATGAGACTGGGGAATCTACTGACTATTTCTCCTCTTAAATGTAGTGGCAATAAAATTGGTATGGAGGCTATCAAAGCTCTGAGGATCGTGTGGAGGAAGAACTATTTCCTTAGCCTTGGAAGATTTCTCCCCCCACACAAGAACTGTTCAGATTGTATTCTGGAGCTAGAATTAGTGTTTAAAGAGAAACTTGTACAGGTATAACGACATCAGTGTAGTTATGTTGGTGCAGCCCTTTAATGTAGATACATGGAATTGATGTAAAATGGGGGTTGCCAGTTACAGATGCATCTTAGGCTGGTGGAGTGTAGCACATCTGCACTTGGGATTTGTGGGGTGCGAAATAGAGCCTCAGGTATCTTAAAGTTGTTGTTTCAGGGTGTGTGTTTTCCAGATTTTAGAAGTAAATGCTTCATTAGTTTACATTTTATTTGCACTTGGAAGGGTTTCTTAACTGTAAAAGCTAGGATGCATTTTTTTTAAATGAGAGCTTAATTTGCAGTAGCAGATGAGGTAAGATCCCTGCGGAAGTTTCCTCTCCCCTTTGAGTGGATTTGTCAAGCCTTATGCTATATTATGGCTCTCCTAGTGATAGTTCAATGTAGGTAATGAACTTTTTATCCCCCTTGACACTGACAGTTTCTCTTGCTAGAGTGTATTTGGAAACAAACTTTGTTTATAAATCTAAGAGAACAAAAAAAGCGTATAAAATCATGAATATAGCACTATATTACTGATGGTATACTTAATGGCTAAACTCAGGTGTTTGGCAATTTCTAACTTTCCTTTTGTATTGAAAGTTCTGATGGATGGTCCTATAAAAAGCCAGATCTGGTTAATCTGTCAGTTTGTTTTCCAAGCATAGAAATATACTGTAAAATATTTTCCAGAAAGTTGGTAGTGCTCTTTATCAAATGTTGTGTTTACATATCTATGTAAAAAACCTTGGCATGAGTGCAGTCACTTGTGGAATGTGCTCTTAAGGTTGAAAATAATTGTTACAAGTAATAATGTACTTCTTAG